GGTGAGCTGGGGTGGGGGAGGGGCTCGGGTCCCGCGGAGCCACAGCTCTGGTACGTTACCCTGTTCGCTGAGGTCTGCTCTTTTCTCCAGGTGTGTGCAGTCTGAGGCGTCCTCTTTCCTGTTGTTCTCTCAGGATTAGTTGCGCCAACTATACGTTCTAATTGTATCCAGTTTTAGGAGGAAGCCTCTGTCTCCTCTCACGCTGCCATCTTTAATCCTTTTTTGTTCTTTTTTTGGGAAATAATCACCAGACTACCAAATAGTTGCAAGTATTAGTGGAATTGTTTCTTTTCCCTGAAACATCAGTACATCGCCAAAACGGTGTGCTGCTGTCCTGGAACACGTCCGTGTGGCCTTCCTGCAAACGGGCGCTGTGCGTGGCGGCCGCAGCCCAGCCGTCAGTCAGTGGGGTGTGAGTGCCACTGTCACCGTCTCGGCCTCAGACCTCACTCGGGTTTGCCACCCGTCCCATGTTGTCCTTTACAGCAGAAGGGCCTGGTCTTGAGTCCTCGCGCCCCTCGAGCCTCTCTCAGGCTCCTCGCCCTTCTATGGGTCGCCCCTCAGCCCGGCTTTCAGAGCTGCTGCCGCCCCCTGACGCCACTGGATGCGGGTGGCGTCTGGGAGGGGCTGCCGCAGCTGGCGCTCTGCAAACCCTGCAGCTGCCGCTCGGTCTGACCGATTGGTCCTGCCACCGACGTGGCTCCCAGGCGCCTCTGCTGTGCTCTCCTTCCTTTTGCTCTTAGGAACCGTGGGGCAGTACTTTGAAACTACGCAGACATCGCTGTCCCTTGCCAGTTGAACCACTCACGTTGCCGTGCGTGGACCCCGTTTAAATCTTCCTCACTGGGCTGTTAGCGTCGCTGTTGCTGATGCTCAGTTGCGCCCCAGGGATGAGTGGGAGCTGTTGAAGCTGGTTTGTGGTTCCCTCCAATGTGGCCTGTCAGTCTGGGAGCACTTGCTCAGCTTTTGGCACAAGAATGTTCTGGGCTTGTCCTGTGCGTTCCTGCCCTGTGTCTGTGAATCCCTTCCCAACAGGGAGAAACCTGGCTTCCGACTTCCTAAAATACTTCCTTGAATCACCGGCCTGTCTGCCACCGGTGTCCCGCCCGAGCCGCCCGCCCATCCCGCTGTGCCGCACACTGCCCTCTGCCCGGGTCTGGCCCTCTGTTCTGTGCCACCCCAGAGGAATGCCCTCCCCACCCTCCTGGGTTCTGGCACTGTGGCCTGATCACCTTAGAACTGAATTGATCGGCATGTGGTAGGGGTATCTTTTTGGAATTTTGTGTTTATATTTAATTTACATACCTGAGACCCCAATTTTATAGGAAATCATGTTTTAGAACACTCATTTCCTGTGTGCTGCTGTGAAAACTTTAATTTTCAGATTGGCTCTTCCCATGGATGCCTACTGAGGTAACGTGGCCCTGTCACTCCTTTCAGGAAACCAAAGTGTCAGTGTCCCGTCTGTGATGGGGAGTTTCAGCTACTTTCTACCATTTTTCAGTGTCATGTTCTCTATCAAAAACATTACCCAGTCTTGGTGATCTTGCACCAGGTTTCAGGAGGCACTTCAGCCTTCATTTCTGCCATAGAAACTTACATTTCATATATTTCATATGTGACACTGCTTTTTGTTCTTTTTTAATTCATCATTTTTCACTTCTCCAATTTTTTGACCTTCTTGTCTTCTTTCACCTAAAGCAGTATTGCAGGCTTATTTATTTACTGATATTGTGTTTCTAGCAATTGTTAAACAGATTTGCGTATTTCTTTAGTGATATGATTGCTCTCGCTCAGGGATCAGCAAACTACAGCCCTGTGAGCTGAGAATGGTTTTTACATTTTGAAAGCATTGTTTTAAAAAGATTTGGAACAGAAAAAATATGTGGCCCACAAATTCTAAAGTATGTGTCATCTGACTGACCCCAATTTGCCGACCTTCCTATAGTCCCATTCCTGCCCCCTGCTTTTGATGACTGGATTGTCAGGTTTGAGCTCTCCGGTTATTATAAAGCTACTTGGTTATTATAAAGTGAACAAGAAATGCTTTTCTGAGTGTGAGACATTATTCATAAGCTTAAAACATTCTGTGATCTTTAACTTTTGACAAATTGGACATTTCTTAAAATGTTACTTCTATAAAAACACTGAACATTGGTCAATTAAAAATTTTCAGAAGTATTCAAAATTTGGTAAACCATCCTTTATAATGTATTACACACTTTATGTACAAGGAATATGTTCTTGGTAAGCCCATGAAATTGACCCAGTGGATTATCAGTAACTAGTTCTGTGGCCAGTGTGCCTGTGTGTGGGTGTGACCTCAGGGCCTGTGGCCACTCAAGGCCTGGTGTTCCCACCAGGGGGAATGGCTCAGGGGGTCTGTGAGCTCCCGGGAAATAGCATGTGGTGTGCAGGCGGGCTCTGGGTGGGTGCCGGGACGGAAGGGGGTCCCCTGCCCCCAGCATGTCTCTTGCAGAGGAGTCATGCCCTCAGATGGCTAAGAAGCGCTGCCCTAGGAGGGATGCCTGCCTGCCTTCCTTTGGCTGTTTTGAGGAGAAAGTCCTGGAATGGGAGCGAGCAGAGGTTTGCAGACAGGCGAGCGCCACAGCTGGCACAGACTTTCTGGGGGGGCTGCACCTGGTGCCCCTGGCGCCCCTGGCCTGCACTCTGCAGGCGTGTGCTCTGTTTTCCAGACGAGCAGAGCTACCTTCTCCGAGACGCCGAGGCAGAGGTGCTCTTCTCCTTTAGCCTGGAGGAGTCCTTGAAAAGGGCGCGCGCTTCTCCGCTCTTTAAGGTAGGTGGGAGGGAGTGGCCTCCAAGTCTGCGGGCCTCAGGTGGCGGACACCCGAGGCCTCCCTCCGCGAGTCAGCCCTGCGGCTGTGCCGAGCAGACCGCGGCCCAGTTACGGAAGGGGGTCTGTAGGGCGCGTGTGAATGAGTGGCTTCACGGGGAAGAGACCTTGTAAGCTGGTTTTTCTGCTTTTAACCAACCTTCCATTACTTAATGACTGCTCTCATTAAATGTGTAGTTGGCTAGAGAATGGAGGACATTCAAAATTAGTTGAATGTGTGCTTAAATAATTCAGGACTGAAGATTTTTAAATATTTGTTACATATACTTTGAACAGTTTGAAATATTTTTTGTATCCAAGAATGGCTAAGTAAATTAATAGTCTGTTTCTTATACTTCTTCAAGAATCAACTGAGGAATCAAATTATTTGCACTGCTGAGTGAAGATATACCTTACTTAAAATAGCCTGATTTTTCTGAGTGATTTTTTTTCTGTGAGTGTATTAAAACAAAATAGTGTTTTATTGTATACTTAGGGGTAGGGGTGTTAGAAAATTAAATTTCAGCCATCAGAGTCACTTCCTGCCGAGCCCAAAGAGCTTATGGGTAACGAAGGGGGAGGGCTGGCAAACAAACGCGCTGGCTTAGAAGAGTTTTATGGAAATGGTGGGAAACACTTATGTTAGTCTTCCTTCTGTGACACAGTACTTCATGTCTAGTAGAATGTCAGTTCTAGTTACTTTACTAATTGTGATTTACTAATAAGTATGCAAATGCTTAAGTTGTGTCCGATTTATCCAGGATTTTTGAAGGCCCACCCTAGGCTGGGGACTAGCAGGGACCTGTGTGTTTGTAACTTCATAAACTTAGCTTGTCTAAACCTCAGGATAGAATTTATGCAAGATGATATACTCCAGAAATTCAAAGCATTTTATTAAAACAGTGCATGTGTTTTCATTTTTTTTTTTTTTTTTTTTTTAGGCAAAATATTTTTACATCACACCTGGAATCTGCCCAAGTCTTTCAACTATGAAAGCGATTGTGGAATGTGCCGGAGGGAAAGTATTATCTAAACAGCCATCTTTCCGGAAGCTCATGGAACATAAGCAGAATAAGGTAGGCGCAGGGAAAACCAGCCGTTGAATTTGTCATTGTTGTTCCTGAGATCCACTGTTTGGTAACTGATACACACTCATTTTCTTTCCCTCAGAGCTTGTCAGAAATAATTTTAATATCCTGTGAAAATGACCTTCACTTATGTCGAGAGTATTTTGCCCGAGGAATAGGTATGGCTTACTGCCCTGGTATATAAACATGTGATTGTACACACAGCAGTGTGTTTATCTGGTTTAACAGTTTTTGTTTTCATTTCTTAACAGATGTTCATAATGCAGAGTTTGTTCTAACTGGAGTGCTTACACAAACACTGGACTACGAATCATATCCTTTTTGAAAGATGCTTGGTGCAGAAACCCTCTCCTGATTAGATCAGAGCTGCATTCCCTGTCTCCACATATTAGGAGATTACTGCTGTTAGCGATACAAAGGATGAAGTTTTGTGAGCATTTGTACACTGTGGGTTCAAACATCTTTCCCAGATTTGCTTCTGCCCTTGGTGCTGACGTCCAGGAACGCCTGCCGTGCGCTGCCCGTGCCATCGGGTGGCTCTGGGGCCTTGTCACACCTGCAGCTGCAGCAGCCTAATTCATTTTGCCCCAGGTGGACAGTTTGGAGCCGCCCAGGCTGCAGGTGCTCTGGAAGGTGCAGGTGGGGGTCAGCGTCCTGAGGGAGCTCCTACGGGGGTGCCTGTTGGGTGCGCTCTGCACCAAGTTGAGAGGACGGGGCCAGGCCTGGGTCTCTGCTTGAGTAGCGTCAGCAGGCGCCCCTGACCATGGCTGCCTCAGGGAGTGGGGCCCTCTCGGGTTCCCTGTGGCCTTGGCTGGACAGGCAGACGAGAAGGGTGCTGTGTGGTCTTACTGCGGAGTACCTGAAGCTGATAAACTACATTTAAGGCCCTTTATTGGATGCTGTTCTGTGATGTGTGTGAGAGTTGTTTTCCTCAACAAGCCTACATATAAATTCACCTGATGGCATCGGCTGCATGTGCCCAGAGCCCCGGAGCTCAGGTCTGGTTGTGTGGCAGCTGCCGTGGCAGCCAGTGTTTCCACCAGATGCCCATTTTCCAGCTGCTTTCTTTGGTGACAGCATTTTAAAGCAGGAAGATAAATGTAATAAGTATGATGCATCTTATTAAGATGTGTAATTTTATTCTGAGGAAACTTAAATTATATTTTGTATTATATAAATTTAAGAGCCCACATTAGGTTTTATGATTCATTTACCAGGTTTTTAAATGTTTTCAAAGCACTGTTTCAGAATTTCAGCTACAAATAAAATGGTGTAAATAAAGATCTTCTATCTCTAAACTATGGATGTTAAAAAGATTTGAAATGTTTTGTACTTTATTTTTATTTCTTATACTCTTTTCTTTTATATTGGTATCTTGCCCACATTTTAAATAAATGTACTTTTGAACTTAGAATTGAGTGATTCTTTGTTTGTTATTCCATATTTTTCCATAATTTACATGATCTGCATCAAACTGGATCACATTTCAAGTAATCTCAAGACAAAATTGTTCTAGTAAATTTTCTCCTAAATTTCTGGAAGGCAGCCGATCCCTGTCATTGTGACAAACTCCTGGGCAGGGGTGTGTTCACTACGGTCGCACCGGCCGGCCAGAGCCATTAAACACAAAACCCACGTCCACCTGCTGCACTTGTGCCTGGCTCTAATTCACTTCCTCCGATCGTAGGTACCGTAGGATAATTGGAGCCTCGTCACTCATGTTAAGGACATCAGTGCACCTGCTATACTCAGTGTGCTGATGTGAAGTACCTACTGCAGGGATCCTGAGCCCCTCTCTCCCTGTGCTCATCAGCCGTGTCCTGAAACGCTGAATTTGCTTCCTTGTCAATTTCTGACATGTCCTCCTGGAAATATCTGTGATCTACTCGACAGTTTATTTAACTCGGCCGCCTCTGTGACTCGAACCCAGTCCAGGCAGAGCACATGTATTACAGTGTTAACACACAGTTGAGTGCGTGTTGGGGAATTGCTGGTGTTCACGTAAGGTTTTGGTTTTGGAACCCACTTGAGGCATCAGTAGTTCAGCTGTTTTCTCCCAGTGGTGCTGTGGTAGGACTGTGTGGGTCCCACCGGTGGAGAGCATGTCACCCCACAATTGAGCGATTTTAGGTGAGATCGCTGTCTCCAGATTACACATCCCTGTCTGCCCCTCGGCCTTCTGTGGCGATGTCACCAGGATGTGTCAGATCTCTGTGGGCACATCTTCATTCTTACTCAACATGACTGATGTATATACTGCTGACTAGAAATAGTTACCTGTTGAGCTCTTTAAAATGCACTCTCATAGCAATTTTGTAAAGATGTGGTGTGGACAGTCCCTGGCTGGCCTCCCACCTCAGCCTGCTCACAGCCCTGGGACTGCCTGCCAGCGCCATGTGGGAAAATGCCATTCCACCTGCTGACTGGACAGAGAGAAGGTCGTGTTCCTCCCGAGGACGGTGGTCCCTCAGGAAGCAGGCGCTTGCGGCATGACAGCCATGGCCTAAGACGTCACATGTTCCATCTGGCATCATGTTGGCACAGCTCTGCTGTCCCTGCTCTGTGACTGAGCTAGGGTGATGACAGACTGCCCGTCCAGTGTGTACATGTGAGCGGGGACTCGGTTCCCTAAGAAGACCGGAGGGCTTCCTGCCCTGGAGGCCAGCAGAAGGAGGGGACGCAGATAGGCATGATGCAGCCCCCATTCCACTCCTGCCTATTGGACTTGCTACCATGGCCTGTCACCCTCAGCAGCGGGTCTGAGCCAGGCAGCTGGCTTGGCATGAGGCTCATTGGCACCCAAGATGTGCACACGGGTGGCAGAGCTGAGAGGAGAGCCAGCAGCCATGGAGGGTAAGACATGGAGGATTCTGAGAGGATGGGCAGCTGCCTTGCTGGGTGAGATCTGGGGAAAGAGGCTCCAAACGTAGGTTCCCCTTCAGTATTTTATGATTTAGACTCCCAGGCCTGTCTGCAGAGCAATCAAGCAGAGCGCCCTGTCCTTGGGTTACTCAGGGCCACTGGGAGAGAGCCTGGGAACCCACTGGGCTGATCTTGAGCATGACCGTCTGCACCCCATACTAGCTCATGGTGAGCACAGCCGCGTGATGCAGGGCCATCCACTGGGCCTCGGCCCCCTGAGGTGACGGCACAGTTCTGAGCAGCCAGCTCCCAACGGGTGTGTGCAGAGAGATGGGGTGTCAGGAATATTGGTGCAATTTATACTGATACAGAGTCCCAAATGCTAACATTTTATTTGAGAACTATTTGTTACACTTCCTTCTACAAACTTGCCTGTGTGTCTTACCAGTGGGTTTCAACCCTGGGCACGGTCAGTGTTGATGCAGTGAAACCAAATCCTGCTCCCCTGCAGCCACGCAGCCCCGGGCACCCGGTGGAGCTGTTCACAGAGAGTCGGTAACAGCGTACTGCCCACACGCACAGTGAGCCGAGCGGGGGTGGTGAGAATCCCGGCCACAGGAACTTTCATTTTCTCTACACTCCACCCCTCCAGAAGTCTCACCTCACAATCTGTGCACCCTCAATCTTCCGTGATGGTCCCAGTGTGAGAAGCTGGAACATAGTATCTAAATCCCACAATAACAACAGAGGCTACAACAATATACAAGTAACAAAAATTACCATACGGATAACAGAAATCAAGAAATAATAATAACCCTAAGCCTGAGGAGATCCACTGCCACCCAGTGGTCATCCGGGCTGTATTTGAAGCAGTTCTAGTCAGGTGAGCCAATGGCCTGTGCTTTCCCTGCACCCCCAGCAAGCAGCAGGTTTTGCTAGGGTGGGTGCCCAGCCCACACAGACGCTAGGGGGGATGGACCTTTGTGGGGATGGGGCACATGTTTGAGTGAACCGTAAGGACCGCAGGTGGGCCTGGCAATACCCACTTCTCTGGCCCCTGGAGGCCTTGCACAGCCCCTGCAGCAGGAAGCCTCGCAGACACACGGGCCAGTCCTGAGGCTCTGCCTCTGGCTTCTACTGCTTGGTCCTCGCTTTAGCTGCCTGCCGAAACTGTGGCTCCAGCGTCAGTCGCTACGGCGGCCGTCTTTACCACTTCCACAGCGCTCGTAGTGATGCCAGTTCAGCCATCAACAACTGTTTTACCTCCCCTTTGGCACCTCACAGCTCATGTTCTCGCTGCCTCTTTGCACGCTTCTTGCAGGAGGAATTCTTTCTCCCTTACGGCCTTTCTTAACACTGTGAGATAAAGCCAGCCCGCGGTTCCCTCCACCTCACGGGCACTCTGTTTCCTTAAGGAATTCTCTATTTTGCTAAGGGCCAACTCGACTGCCTCAAGCGTCACCTCCACTTTTCCCCAGTCTTGGGGAGGGGCCCAGTCCTCTAGGAGGCAAGTCACCTCGGACCACATGCCCATTGGGGGACACTTGAGTGTCTCCCTGTCCATAGGGGCAGCCGCTGAAGCAGTCCTCCCATGAGGGCGCCTGTTCCATTCTTGGGTCTACAGAGCCCCTGGTTGGCGTGCAGCTACGCCAGTCATCTTACCAGTGGGTTTCAGCCCCGGGTAAGTTCACTTTTGATTTGGTGAGACTAAAAACATGACAGTGGGACATTCTTGGGGGTGAAAGTGTTTATACTCTATTCTATAGCGGCAGGTCAAGCACTAGAATCCTGTGTGCCGCAGGTCAAGTCTGCACGCGACAAGCCGGTCTCTGCCTCTGGGCCCCTCCGCCCCTGCAGCTTCTCAGTCTCTGTCCTGGGCGCTGCCACCACTCCAGCCCCTGCTCTCCTGCAGCCATGCAGCCCAGAGCCCTGGGTGGAGCTCTTTAATATAGAGTCAATAACAGTGCATTGCCCACACCTGTGTAGTGAGCTAGCTGACCAGGACCAGGTGAGAATCCTGGCCACAGGAACCTTCATTTTCTCTATACCATACAATACGTATATTTTTTTCAGATATGATTTTATTGCAGTACCTGACACCTGAGAGATGAAATCATGAATGGGGCATGTAGCACCTCTCTAGAACTTTGTTTTGTATGTGCATGCACAATATTTGGTTTTTGTTTCAATTTACTCCTGTTTTCATATGTTTCCTGATACAGAAATTGTGTATCATTTCATCATCATTATCATCATCTGATGTCATTAGGTAACAGGATGATGACCCCCAGTTTGCATTGTGCACAGCCTTGCATTGGGTGCTTCTCTTCCTTAGAACAATGTCTTTCTGTATGGCAAATCATCTGGAGAAGGAAGGAAGCATTTGGCATCTTTACACGCACACATGCACACTCACAACTATTTTCCCCAGGAAAACTTTGAACTTTTGAAAGGGTCTGACTGTATATAATCAGAAACAAAGTTATTTTCTGGGTTTAAAAATAGCTGTAGTATTGTGATACAATGGTATCAGAGCTAAGAACTGGTTATGAGATTGCACAATTCAAAATTAGATTGCAAATGCCCCTCATACACTTGCAAAATTGCTCATTTAAACAGCTCATGAAAATTAGCAATACTGTTGCTTTTGGGATCTGTGAAGCATGGGCTTCAAACAAAAAAGCAGGCTCTTTGGAACTTTAAGATGATGCGTGGAAGAGATGGTAGATGGAATAAACACCAATCCCAAAGATAACTACATCACATTTCAGCACAGACTAACCGATTTACAGATGCTAGTTAACTGCTCAGCTAACAGCCCTGGCTAGAATCACTGAGGAGAAGCACCTGTAAGAAACTGCTTGTCCTGGAAAGAAACAGCGAACCCACTGTAAGGGGGATAGATTCAAGTGTTGGTGAAGGGCTGGCCCAGCGAGACCTGGCCGGAGGGCCCTGCCCTGGGAAGGGCTCCGGGAGTCCTTCTGAGCACTCTAAGGTTCGGGGGGTGCCTGTTTCATTTACAGGGAAGCCCTCAAATGAGGAAAGTTTGCCTGAAGCTGACATTACCTGATGTGTTTCCAAAATGGCAAATTGGTGGAGTTTGTGAGGTCACCAGGTGTCAGGGCCACAGGTGTCCCAGTGGAAGTCATGTGGTCACGAGAAACCCGGGGCATCCCCTTGCCACACAAAGCCAGGACCTGCCTTTGAGATGTGGGCACTCTCCAGGCGGGCCTGGAAACGAGTCTGGGTACATGATGGAACAGGGGGCAAAGCCAGGGTTAGAAGTCGCCCCGGTGTGACGTGAGCGCTTCCCTGATTGTCTCTAGCCCTGGCCCCGCTCCACACAGGCCTGTGGAGAGCTCTGGGTGCTGTGATCCCTGTGCTAGGGGTTCCCCGACGGGGTCCCTAAGCAAGTCCCTCTGGGTGCTGTGATCCCTGTGCTAGGGGTTCCCCGACGGGGTCCCTAAGCAAGTCCCCCGTGAGTGAAGCATCTCCTGGCGCACCTGTTGCCACCTGGGGCCAGTTTGCATCCCACGTTTCCTGGGCCCC